TAAACAATACTGTTCAATCATAGGTAAACAAAGTTGCATAACAGATTTTCATATAATGCATGTCATAAATTTATACAAGCAATAATAAGTGGGACTATAATGAAAATAGAAATTACACATAAAAAATTTTGCATGTTTAAAATCATATCCCTTGTAAAAAATTTTGGTTAATAGATACCTGGACATGTCATATACCAAACAAAATCCTAACTATTCGGCTACAATTTGGTAATAAATATATTTAAATAAACAGCATGGTATTAAAATTATTTGAATTCAAAGTAGGGGAGTCATTTAATGTCATCCCTGTATAATAGCTGCAAAATAGTGTTAAACAATACTGTTCAATCATAGGTAAACAAAGTTGCATAACAGATTTTCATATAATGCATGTCATAAATTTATACAAGCAATAATAAGTGGGACTATAATGAAAATAGAAATTACACATAAAAAATAAGTGCAATTATTTTTATTATAGTCAATACTAATCAAAGCAAAAATTTTTATTTTGGCATTACTAATTTGTTTACATAACAAGTTGATTAGATAAAGATAATACATATTATAAGCTATGTTTGCTAAAATAAAACTCATTTAAGATAGCATATTATTAATTAACATAAAATAATATTTGTTGTAATTAGTCATAAATGGGTGATTCACATAACAGGATGTCTGTCCCACTGGTGTCTGAGTTGTTCACCAATTGGATCAACTCATCGGAGATCACATTACAAGAGGTTTGTGTCACACGTATGTCTATAATGTTAATTACGGTCTATAATATGGCTATATTTTGTGGGGACAGGTAGTGGGCAGCGGTACGTACGGTGTGGTCAATAAAGGACTTTGGAGGGGACAGGAGGTGGCGGTAAAGCAGATAAAGCCTGAACACCACCAGGCCTTCGAGACTGAATTAAAACAACTGTCCCGTGTGTCGGCTCACCCTAATATAGTCAGCCTATTGGGTGCCATAAGAGACAATGGATTCGTGTCACTGGTTATGGAGTTTGCCAGAGGGGGCAGTCTTTACAAAGGTATAGCCTATGGGGCATTCATTTAGTACGTAGCCAATAGATTTCTAAAGTTAAGTAGATGAATTATATTTATGTAAGTAGTTTTATAAAGAAACATTAAAATGTCTAATATGCTCAGTGTGATCAACTAAAGTTTTATAATTAGTGGCTAATTGAACGCATAAAGGACAAATAGTGGACAACATATTTTAAAGTGGAATTGAATTACAATTTTTTGAAATTTTTTTTTCTATTTTGCTGCTATAATTAAGTAAAATAATAATGTATTTTTTTATTATTATAATGTGAAATTGAAGTTTACATATTAGTTTTATGCTGCAATTATTTTTTTAAACCACTGAATATACTAGATTATTAATGTATTTTTATACATATTATTTTACTACTAACTGTTCGAACTAACCTAACCTAGTCCTACATTCCGATGTACCGGTGCTCTACAGTTTGTCTGACGCTATATCATGGGTCCATCAGTGCGCGAGTGGTGTCGCATACCTGCACTCAATGCAACCCAAGGCTATAGTTCATAGGGACCTCAAGTCACCCAAGTATTCAACACTTATCATAGGATTATAAATATTAAGTATATTTATCTTGTTCTAATTTTTTGTACCTAGTTTACTTTTAGTAAACGGTCGAGTGATAAAAATATGTGACTTCGGAACGGCATGTGATATACACACTGTTATGACTAATAATACCGTGAGTGAATCTATTATTTATTGTTATATGAATAAATATTTTTTAAAATTATTGAGAAAATGTAATTTTTATTAAAATATTAATTAGTATTTACTAATTTATTAGAATTTTTTATTTATAGTAAGTCACCATATGAATCGATCGATTTAATAACCGGTTTCTTGGGAAAGCAGATTCTGGGTTATGAACTATTGGTAATGAACTTTATATCATTTAGCATGCATTCAATTGATGAACGCATTACCACTAGTTCATAACCCAGAATCTGCTTTACCAAGAAACCGGTTATTAAATCCAACGATTCATACAGTATATTAGAGTTTAGGAAGACATAATCATTGTTATCAATTTTTTTATCTGGCTAAATATTTTTTGACATAGGGTTCGGCCCGATGGATGGCACCGGAAGTGTTTGAAAGTAGCAAATACACGGAAAAGTGTGACGTCTATAGTTGGGCCATAATATTGTGGGAAGTGTTGGCCAGACGTATCCCATTTGATTGGTTAGAAAACGTAGATTTGGTTATATTATTGGCCGCCCATAATGGGAAACGTCCGCCCTTTTTGCATAACTGTCCCCAAGTCATCTTAAATCTTATGACAGGGTGTTGGTCTAAAGACCCAGCTATTAGACCCTCGATGGCTGAGGTGGTGGTCCGGATGGGACAGGTAGCCAAGGGTATGAACCATTCAAATGGTATGTGGTTTTAATTGTAAATATACAATTGCCTAGTTTCAGTAATTAAATAATTTTGCAGACTATTGTACAGTCGGACCTCTTTATAAGTGTCAGCCTACAAATAACTTAAGTGCAAACATACTCGATTACATAGTGCCGGCAAATATGTCTCAGTTCATTGATAACTCAAAAACGGTATACAGTTGCATAGAGACCACAAATAAATATCGACACAATTTATCGGAAACCCATGTATTGCTCGATAGTCTGGCGGTATTACCACACAATCAGTCATTTGTCGGGAAGATTGTGTCAGATTTACAGACAGTCCATAACTCGAGGTCGGCTAATGTCGTCGGTTATGAAACTACTGTCCGTCCAAATGGTTCATCACTTAAAAAGTACAATAACTCAAAAATGTCAACTAGGTTGTTTATTGTTAATAAACTCAGAAAGTGTTACACAAGTACAAGTAATTTGTTTAAATATAAACCAATGATATAATTTATAGGATAAAGTACATTATATTGTAGATTTGGCACGTTAATTATTATATTAAAATATTGATCAAATTACAAATTAGTTTCCAATATATCTGTGTTAAAATTTGATGTTGTTGCAATTTTACGTTCACCATTTTCATACCCAACTTGATTTAAATCTATATATTGCAGCTCAATATCAGTTGCTTGGGCAGTAACAGTGTCAATGTAATTATTTTCAGATGTTGTATCCAGCTCTGTATATTGGACAGGAATGGTATAACTTTTATACGAATCACATTTGCCTAGTTTCAATTTCTTTTCTCTTGAATTATTGTCTAATTTTGCAATTATGTCATTCAAATCATTAACCAATTTTGTAAATGTTGGACGTTTTCGTGGGCTAAGTGCCCAACAACTTGACATAATCTTGTAAACTGTCTCAGGACAGTATGTTGGACATGCCATGCGTTTACCCTGCTTTAAATAGTTTAATATTTCACCATGGTCTACATCGGGATACGGTGTAACTCCACGGGTCAGTAGCTCGCACATTAACACACCATAAGACCAGACATCAGTTTTGGTATTAAAAGTACGCATTTCCAGGCTTTCCGGTGCCATCCATTTGACGGGTAGTTTGAGTCTCGTATTACCGCTGCTATAATAGTCGCGTTCGTATACATCGCGCGATAGTCCAAAGTCACCGATTTTGACGCACAGTTCCCCGTCGAGCATACAGTTACGGGCGGCTAAGTCCAGGTGCACAAAGTGTTGAATTGATAGGTATTCCATTCCTATAATATAAATGAATTTTATGGATTAACAAATTATCATGTAAATTAATTTGTAATTTTTTGATTTCAAAAAGACCATGACATTCATTTTATACATATGTGTAAACACTGTTATAATGCTCAGCTGATATAAATATACGAATGCCAATCTATGCGAAAAGTGTACCCAGTGTAACATTTTAGCAAATGAATGCAAGACTGATTTTAATATTTTCAATATAAACTTTAAAGTTTTTGTGTTTCAAATTTAGAAATTAAAATCTAGTGCTGTCAATCATGTAAATTACATTAGTCAAAGTGTTTCAACACTAGTTAACGCTTTTCGCATATACTATATTTTAAATCATTTTCTCCATGTATAACCAGGATCAATAAATAATGGGATGGATGGTTTGTTTAATAGCTCACTTATTAAATGTAGCATAAATATATACTCTGGCACTCTTAAAGTTCATTATGAGGTAGCCATGAAAAAACAAGAATATTCTGTGTGACATCAAAAATATTCTGTCAAATTGGATCATTTGCTGGACCCATGGTAAGCGCAAAGATTACTAATGTTAAAATTATATGGAGTAGTGCTATGGTAGATTAGATACTATAATTTAATAATATCAAAAAATAATTAAAAATATATCACATGTTTTCTTACAGTTTAACTTTGAAAATTGCCAATTCCGCCATAGACTCCCATGTGTTTGCAAAATAAAATTAGATATTTGAAAATGTTTTGCACCTGTCATAACCGCTAATAAATTCTAATATGCATAAAACAACATTTTTAAATTTTTTTTAAAGTTTTAGGGGTTTATTTAGTTTTAAAAATCAATAAAACGGGAAAATTACGCACTTTTTTGGATTTATAAAACAATTTGGAAAACTTGTAAATGTTAATATAAAAAATAATTTTTGTTCTATATATATTAGAATTTATTAGCGCTTATGACAGGTACAAAACATTTTCAAATATTTAATTTTATTTTGCAAACACATGGGAGTCTATGGCGGAATTGGCAATTTTCAAAGTTAAACTGTAAGCAAACATGTGATATATTTTTAATTATTTTTTGATATTATTAAATTATAGTATCTAATCTACCATAGCACTACTCCATATAATTTTAACATTAGTAATCTTTGCGCTGACTATGGGTCAAACAAATCATCCAATTTAACAGAATATTTTTGATGTCACACAGAATATTCTTGTTTTTTCATGGCTACCTCATAATGAACTTTAAGAGTGCCAGAGTATATATTTATGCTACATTTAATAAGTGAGCTATTAAACAAACCCCCACCCCATTATTTATTGATCCTGGTTATACCTTTAGCAATTTCAATAGCAAAACACAATAGCGTGCTGACAGTGAGATTGTTTGAAGGTTCCCGTACGTATGTCAAAAGATCTCCATGTTGCATATATTGTAACACAATAAGTGGACTTCCGTTATCGTCGAAACTAACCCCAATCAATTTCAAAACGTTATCATGCTTAAAGTCTTTCATCATAATTCCTTCGTCAAGAAAAGAATTAGCGTCTACTTCATTATTTATAATACCTAGATAGTTTTAATACGATATATTTTTAAAGTGTATATTAAAATTTGAATATAAAATATAAATTTTACTTTTAACAGCCACCAGATTATTTGAATCTGTTTCGGTTGTGTATAATTTAGCTTTATAAACTAATCCAAAATGCCCTTGATTTATTGTATCAATTAATTCCAGGTTATTACGTTGAATTAATAAGCCATCCTGCTCCAATTTAGCAATAGTCTCATTTGAAATTAAGTTTATTCTTGTCAATTCCAAGTTTGTTTGATCGTGTTGACCTTACAACATTTAACAGATTCTTTGATTAATTTTGCAACTATTAAAATACTTTTGATTTCTCATCCATACCATTTCTAATATGATCGGGATTATTTGTTATCATAGTTTGTAATCCACTTTGAGAGGTGTATGAATGAACTAGTTTATTCTTAATGCAGCAAACCAGGGAATATAATAAAATAAGCACAATTAAAGTAATTATAGTAATCAAAGTTATAAAATAAATTGAATTTGTGTTGATGACATATATATTTTTGCCAATCGGATCACTATGCGAATTGTTGGTATGTTTATCATTATCATCATCGTTTTTAAAAATTAATGTGCCTACAGTAAAATTTAAATTATCAAAAACTGATACATAAACTTGATTTTTAATTGATCTTGGCAAGCGCTGAGACACACGACAAACGAGATAATTTGGTATTAACTCGGTGACATTGCACATGTAATCGCCAATCCACACCTTAACATCGGAATCTTCGCAAACGTCGTTTAAATTTTCACCATGTAATCCCAAAAGTGTGTCCCCGAGATATTTTACCCCGGACTCAAATTGGTGATAAACGGGATTTTGGTACATGATAAACTTTGAAAACTGTTTCATATTATTTTTGCTTATACTCCACACTGATTTCACAGAGTCCATTTTGAATCCATAATCAAGCTCAATATATTTGTTTGTAATATTCAGAATATATACAGGGATCGTTGGGCTTTTACATGTTAATTCCATTTTGAATCCATAATCAATCTCAATATATTTGTTTTCTATATTCAGCATATTTACAGGGATCGTTGGGCTTTTACATGTTAATTCATTGGAGGTTATCATCGTACATTTACCACCATACCCTTTGCCATTAGGCATTTCCACATAAAATAACGGACGTTGAACCGTGTCCAAATGGTTCCCTAAAACTATTATGCTATTACCACCATTAGGAATACCACGCAGGTCATTTCGATTTCGAGATTTGACACTATTTATTATCGGATCTTCCATATACATATAGTTAGAAGTATTTAAATATCTTACGCAATTATCAAATTGAACCTTTACTTTTTCTAGACCTGGGGACGATCGTTGTTTAGTTGTGCATTTTAAATATGATTGTTGAACATCATTAACTTTACACTGATATTTTCCTAAATATACCGTGACACTTGACCCGGCATCCAAGTAGTTACCATGTATAATTACTTTCGTGCCACCTGATACTGGCCCATAATTTGGCGTTATATTAAGTAGTTTAGGTTGTACAAAATAAAATGGGAACGCTGATCGTGTGTTAAATTGTTTATGAGTTGTTATTGAAATGTACCCTGTAAATTGATCAGATGATTTATTTATTTGAGTTAATATTTCAGTAACATCTGGAACAGTGCAGATTATTATTACACTGTCGACATATTTAGTTTTATCCAGATCGCATTTTATTTGAAGAGTATCCGTAATATTATTATCAGGATTAATATTAATAAATGTTTCTACATTATTAATTGTCCGTCCTAAATTAACCCCTTTTATAATAATTTTTGTTCCCCCTTCCCACGGGCCTGATTTAGGAAAAAAATCTATAATTCTTGGTCCTGGGCATATTTGTTGATTATCAAGCCATGAATCGTTATTAGCTGTATATAACGAACTTGGTTGACACGTTTGTGAAGTCGCACACCAACCGCACCGGTACTTATCATTTATGCCCAAACAGGTACTACAACTATTGGCCATATATTGACATTTATATATTATAACTAATAAATAAGACCAGGTTAAGTAATTTAAAATTGTTATGTATATATTACCTGGTCTTTTGTGAGCATCGAATAATATTTCATCGCGTTCGTTAATCACCGAGATTATTGTAATAATTTTAGTACGATTGCCATTGTAGTTTAATTTTATATCGT